CTCCCTCCTCTCTCTCTCTCTCTCTCTCTCTCTCACACACACACACACACACACACACACACATATGCATGCATGGCTCAGATGTGAAGTCCTGACATAAATACTGAAAGCAAGGCAGTGGGGTGCCACTAAACAGAGAAAAAAACAGAGTCCTAGCAGACAGGTATGAATACACATTCAATGAATTCAATTCTCGTTTATATATGCACCATACTTTGACAGAAGTAGAAGATGCTTCATGAAAAAGCAGAATCTTATAGTTTTCACAAATAATTCCCCAGTGATTTCTCTGACGAACATATTCCATTAGATATGGGTGATGTGAGTTAGTTCTTGTGGGGGGTTTCCCTGGACAGCTGCCCTGTTTTCAAAAAGTTGCCTTTATCACTGTTTGGTTCTAGAATTCATAGCAGTCTTGAAAACTAAAAAGTTACATGTTAAAAAGTACCAAAATACGAACACTATTATCTCGGGGGAGGTGGGTGGGGATTCATGTGAGTTGTCGATTTTTATCAAAAGGAGGCGTTTTTTAAACACAATATTTGGATTCCATATTTTCAGTAAAATATCACAACCCTGGTAAATCCAAAGTTAAACTGGGAAGCTAAACTGAACTAGTTACTTGTAATGTTCACTTTATAACTTTTGATGTCTTAATTAGGTTACATAAGTGTCAAGGCCATTTGTTTACGAGATCAGAACACTCAAGTCAATTCCTCATTCTGCAATGCAAGAGCCAAGCCAGCAGCTGAACCCAAAATATGCAATGCTTTCTCCTGCCCTGCCTAGTAAGTCACCTGGAAATGTCTTTCTGGTTGCATTTGTACTCATACGTGCCTTTATTGTTGGTATGAGATTATTAAAGCTACTGTCAGTGCTTCTGATCAAAAATGATTCTGGTAGATAGAATGACTCCCACCCCACAAAAAAGGCAAGAGAAGAAAGAAGATGATAGTTGTGGTTAAAATATATAATTTTTTCAAGTTACATATTTTAACGCAAATTTGCTTCACACACTCCAACTCTGGCTTGCCAACCTAACCTTGGGGTTAAAAAAAAAAGGCATGAAGTCGTCTTTATTTTTTTTAACCTTTGCCTAGAGACTCCTTTTCTCTGAACTGAATCAAACATATCTGAATAACACAGAATCCTATATTCATTAAACTTCTATGTGGTTGTATGCTTTTATGTAGTCATCCAAGAATTTAAAAGTCATAATACCATGCAACCCATGAAACCCCAAGTGCAGATTACACAGTAGCAAGACCCAAGGAAAAAGAACGGAGTAGAGGCCAAGTGGTAACCCCATTTTTGATGAGGAGACCCTAGGAGTTCAGTGGGTTTGCTTTTGGATTGCTTTTTAGCCACGCTATTGTTTGAATACTAATTTTAAGTAATCTTCCCAGCCAAATGAAGTCTCTTCTTGTGGGATTTGTCTTCTGCCAAATGTATTTATAGAGCTGACAGAGTTTCTTCTAAAGAAATGTTGTGTTCACTAATGTTTCAGATCATCTTAATAAGTAGTGTTTGCTTTGTGGTGATGTGGTAATATTGCACTATCTTTTATAGAGCTACGCATTTTTTTCCTTGTAAATAGTATGTTTATCGTAATTGTCTGGGGCGGCAGCTACCCACCGATCCCCTGTGCCCAACTGTCAACCCAGTTTTTCCTCTTAGAATTTGGAACCAGCTGGATCCTGAACACAAAAAGGAGAAAGAAACTTGGGGGGCTTCCAGGGATTTTTGCCTTTTGCTAAGAAATGTCTGGTTCTAAAAATATCCCATGGCTCTAAGACCTGATCACCAGACAGTGTTATTGACCCTCGTGGAGTAATTTCTCCTTTAGATGGTGTGTGCGTGTGTGCGTGTGTGTGTGTGTGTATGTGTGGGGATTGTCAGTACATGTGAATGGCAAGCTGATACCGTCTTACGTTAAGCCTCTTTTCCATCATTGGTTAGCTTGGCCAAGCAAAGACAGGGACCCCATTCATACATACATCCATGAAGAGGGAGAGGGCATTGGCCCTGCTTCACTCCTGGAGCTTCCCTGATGACTACACAGAAATGATCTGTGTGGTAACAAGTTTGCCGGCAATTTAAAAACGCAACAGCTCCTTGGCTCTGCAGGGTTGGAGTGCTGATGGCAGGATCTTTTGCTTCTTTCCCCTTTTTGCCACCCTCTTATTTATCTCAGTATTTCCTGCTGAATAATGCAGGGACTGTTCTTCTCCAGGGATATACCAGAAATAGGGAGTTAGCCGATTAGAGTTCTAAGGACAGAGGTATGCATCTGACCTAACTCCGTTATTTTCCCACGTAATGACCGTGTTATGTGCCCTCACCGGACGCCAAGTCCTGAGCTCAGACCTGGGAGGTGGAGATGAATAGCTTATAGTTCCCGCCATCAGTGACCCCACCATCGAATGGAAGAGGTGGACGTGTCAAGAAATAACTGAGATGCAGTGAGATACGTGCTATAAAAATGCTGTGTGTAAAAAGCAATGAGGGAGCAAATGGACCGTGGAGGCATCTGAGGTGGGGGTGATGGGGAAGGAGGCTGGATGGACAGTGACCCTGGGGCCTGAGTGTGGAGAACCATGCATGTCACACAGAAAGTCTACCTGTGTTAAACTTTTCCTAGCACTTTTACAGATTCATCATATTTGCCACATAAAGAAAGAAACTTGAATTTAGTAGATAAAAATGCCATCTTTATAGGCAAATGTTGAAACTCGTAATTTCATAATATATATGTTTTCATCTTGTACAAATATGAGAAATTATTTTATTTGATGTCATCTTTCTTTAAATAAGATAACATGGATATGCAAGGTTTTAGAACACATGTAATCCTACAATTCATTACTCAATTCTCTGGGCTAAAGGAAAGGTCTTTAACCTCATACATCAGGCTTACGGGGAAACCAGTGAAAAAAAGGACTAGGAAAGTGCAAAAAGTGCAACAGAAACACATTTGGTCTTAGTGATATTTTAGATCTTAAAATGATCCTTAGAATATTTATAAACCAAGGTCAGTTTTTGACATGGCTGCTTGGACTGAAATGTATTGTGATGTCTGGTGGATCTTTGTTATATGCAGCTTTCGAATCGTAGAATTTTAATTAATCAAAAGCAGTTGTTGGAAAGGATTTATAGTTACACTTGATCACTCTTCACTAAACACCAGCTCTCAGAGAGCTGTGAAAAAGTGACCTTGAAAGAACTCAGGGTTCTAGCTCTAATATCAGTAAATTTTAAGGCTAACCAGAAAAAGCATTGAGGGCAACTGCCCACTTAGAAGTATTCTTTGTAAGACCCTCCCTGAATGTGCCCCTCTTTCTCCCTCCCTCAGTGATGTCTCATTAATCTTGTTATTGTACTTTGCAGTTATAAAATACAGTCTTTCTTTGCATATCCACCTCTTCCATAGGCTCCTTATTAGGAAGAACATTGCTTCATTCACTTTTTCCAACCCTAATGCTTAGGAGAGTTGCTGGCACAGGGTAAAGATCCTAGTAAATCTGGCTGAATGAATGAATTGCTCAGATTTCCAAATGGCACCTGTTTCGTCCCCTACAGAGAGGGTGGGAATGTATTTTTCCCCAGAACTATGTGACGACTAAATGTGATTCCCTACAGATGGACCACCTAGGTGTAGGCTTTAGAATCTACAAAAAGAGAATCAGTCTGAGTCACCCTGATTGGTTCTACAGTGGATTGAAGGCTTTCATCAGGTGGTTCACCTTTCACAGTAACCGCTTTGGAAGTGATGCTTTAAAGTCCCAGGTTCACTGAAAGTGATTTTTGTCTTTCACTGGAAGCTGGAAGCCAGGCGAGTGGACAGTGTGCAGCAGGTCCTGTGCGGGGGGCCAGCAGAGCCGGAAGATCCAGTGTGTCCAGAAGAAGCCCTTCCAAAAGGAGGAGGCCGTGTTACATTCTCTCTGCCCGGTGAGCACACCCACTCAGGTTCAAGTCTGCAACAACCACGCCTGCCCTCCAGAATGGAGCCTTGGGCCCTGGTCTCAGGTAAGTGAGAAAGACTTGTTGGGAGTCATTGGTCTCATTCCCCATGGAAAAGGAAGGTGACAAAAATATAGGTGGTGTCTTTGCTCCCCCAAGAGGCCCTCAGCTGTTCACCCCTTCTTGGGAATCACTCTGGGTTAACGTGATGGGGCGTTTTAATTAGCATTTGTAGTGATGCTTGCGCAGCCTGAAGGGTGAACCCCTGTACAACAGCTTAGAATCCTTTGAAGTCAAGAAATTAGAGTGTGGAGGCCATTGAAGCTGGACTAGGAAGGACAGAGAGACAGGAGTTGAGTGTTGGAGGATTGGCAGGTGAAACTGGCTACTGAATTCACCAAAGCAAATGGCAAATACCAAGAATGAGGCATAGAAAGGATACTGAACTCTTGCTTCAGTGAAGAGGTGCAGTTAGAAGAATTCCAGGAGGAGTTGGCCGTAAAGTTGGCTCTGGCCACAAACTCCCAATGAAAGGTACAAACTCAAGAAGCAGGAAGCGTCCTAGAACCGCCTGCCGCTCACAGCTCAGAGCCTCTCCACCGGGGGCGGTTTGGCAAGGAAGCCATTTTTGATGATCACAAGTTAGGAGGATGGTGCTTCTGGAACCTAGTTGGTAGAAATAAACATCCTACAATGCACAAGATACAGTTTTTAAAAAGTCCGGCTCCAAAAAATTTATCTGGTCCAAAATGTGTGAGAACACGGCATCCTTGTGGGTGAGAGCCCAGCCTCTGCTAAGCCATGGATGGCAAGCCCATTTTAGGGGTTAATTAAAAAGAAAAAAAGCAAACAAAAGAACACAGAGGTTTCATCACCTGAAATATGAAGCCAGGTAGCAGCCCCTGACCACATCTCTACCAAGTTTCCCCATAGGGCACCTCGTCTCCTGGAGAGCACTGATTTCTGATAAAGTTCAGCACTGCACTCACTGCCCCGTCGCCAGCAGTGCTCAGAATAAGGCTTTTGTTTGTTTTTCAATTACAGGATATTGTGGGATTTAAAGAAAATGTTACAGCTGTACCTGATAGGGGAATAAGGTTCTAAAAGTGGGCAAGAATAGCTTTGAGTATGCTTAGGTGTACCTTAAAATGAAGGGATGTATTCATTTATAGTGGAGGGTAAATCTAAGTAGTGTACGGTGTTCAGGCTGGCCTTTTTCTTTGCAATCAGGAGTTAAAATTTATAAGAGGAGAATTCAAAGGGCCGTTTAAGTCAAATGTGTGCGGTGGGCCAATCCCAGCCTAGAGCCAAAGTCTTCAAAGTGATCTGGGCAGGTTTTGAACCAAAAATCTGAAAGCAAGGACATTATTTGCCACCGTCACTACTTCACAGTTCTGGTGCAAGACAGAGTAGCTAGTTTAGTAAATTTCTGTTAGAAAAAAAAAAACCCATCTTCAGACCTGGGGCAATGCAGCGGCCCCCAAGCATTGAGAATGTAGGAAGAGAACGGCCGTCCATCCCCACTTAGGGGTCTCTGGATGGAGGAACACTTTCTCCTGCTGGCTGCAAGGGCTTTCATTGAGCATTTGGTTCTAGTGCTTAAAAATAGCTTTGCAAACACGTCATTCACCTCGAAGACAGTCCTTTGAGACTAGCGTGTAAATGACTTTTTTTTTTTTTTATCTCAAGTGCTCTAAAACCTGTGGGAGAGGGGTGAGGAAACGTGACGTCCTGTGTAAAAGCACTGCCGCAGCAGAGGGCGTCCCGGAGAGCCTGTGCGCCAGCGCCCCGAGACCAGAATCGCAGGAGGGCTGCGTCCTGGGGCGATGCCCCAAGAACAGCCGGCTCCAGTGGGCCGTCTCCTCGTGGAGTGAGGTACGAGTTTAGATTTACCACTGGGCTTTTTGGAAATGCTCAAATCTCCCACCAGCATCGCGGCGCTCAAAGCTCCTTTCTTGTTCCACACTCATCCTAGCTGCCTACTCCTTATGCACGCTTCCCCTGCTGACTTCATCAGATACTGATAAGCACTCATCGCACTGACAGGCAATACGTCCACATCTCTTGCCTCACTTTCCTTAAGAGAAAATTATAACCCAATGGCTAAAGGCTTGGGCTGGAATCAGACTTAGCCACTTTGAACGCGGCCTTCAGTGTTCACTATGGGTGTGACCTTAGGCTAAGCCTCGCTTTCCGCATTGGTACAATGGAACTGACCTTGCATCTCCCTCAGAGAGCTGCTGTAAGGACGAAGCTCAGTGTCATCCTTCATCATGACAGTTACGCTGACGCCAGTGCCTACTGATTGCTTCCGTTCATCCAGGCCCCACGTAGTATCCCATAATACTGTTCAAAATACTTAAAACCAGAACAGGTTTTCATATACTTATTTCATCAGCCTCTGTCCTCTTTCTCTTTTTGTTTCTCCTGCCGTATCACAGCAACATGTTTTATCTCAGCCCCAGAGAGAGGCAGGGTAAAAATGAAGGACAACTGTATGTTATGCAGTGTTTCCTCCCACTCAGTGGCCCTGCCTCCTTGGCACAGGCTCCCAGCTCCCGAGAGGCTTCAGGTAGACTGGACCCACAGCTGTTGAACCCAAATGTGGACATTCAAACAAACACTACACAGAGATGCAGATCGCATCGTCTGTTGGTCTTGGCTTTCTCTTGGACTGTGTCTCACTCACATCCACGTGGCATCTGGTGGTCCTGCTGGGCGGGGCCTCCTTTTGTTTTATGGTGCCAGTGAGCTTTGTGACTTTGGGAAAGTAACTCCAATTCTCTGGCCTTTGGTTTCCTTACCTGTAGCACAAGGGACGGTGCTGTATTTTCACGATCCTTCTGTGCCTGTGGTTGACCTGCCGTTGTCCCCTCCCTCTAAATTCACGTGGGTGGTACATCCTTCCGTCAGAACGGTGCAAAGTGCTTGCTGACGCCTTCTTTCTTGGCCCCTAGTGCTCCTCGACCTGTGGTTTGGGCGTGAGGAAGAGGGAAATGAAATGCAGCGAGAAGGCCTTCCAGGGCAAGCTGATAACTTTTCCTGAGCGACGGTGCCGCAATATTAAGAAACCAAACCTGGACTTGGAAGAGACCTGCAACCGAGGGGCGTGTCCAGCCCGACCCGTGTACAATATGGCGGCCGGGTGGTATTCGTCGCCATGGCAACAGGTGAGCGCACACATACTCGGGGAGGGGGGGTATACTTAAGTGAGAGTCAAAAAAAAAAAAGGAGAGGCCGTTCACAACTGCTGCTGTTAGAGAGCCGTCCAAACGTAGCAAGCAAAGGGCCTGCCCTCGGCCAGCTCCACCACCTGTGTGGCCCTGGGCAGGTTACATCTGGGAGCCTCCATTTTCACATCCACAAACCTGAGGTGATAATACCTTGCAAAGCTAGTGGGGGGGGTTTGTTGTTTCTTTGGTTTGTTTTCTTTTCCCTAAGTAAGTAAGACAGTGGAACACACTCAGCCACAGGCTGTCAGGTAGTACTAACGTTCACAGTCGCTGCTACTAAACCCACCACTGGAATCTTCTGTATGTTAGAAATGCTGCTCAGAGTCTTTACTCATTGTCTTTTCTTTTTTACTGTTTCCATTTTATTATTTAAATGTTTAAAAATTTTATTTCTATTGAAGTGTAGTTGATTTACAATGTTAGTTTAAGGTGTATAGCAAAGCCATTCAGTTGTACATATATTTTTTTCAGGTTCTTTTCCATTAAATGTTATAAGATATTGAATATGTAGGTCCCTGTGCTATACAGTAGGTCCTTGTTGTTTACCTATCTTATATACAGTAGTGAGCATCTGTTAATCCTAAACTCCTAATTTATCCCTTCCCCACCCTTTCCCCTTTGGTAACCATAGTTTGTTTTCTGTGTATTTGGTTTTTACATCCTGTTTCTGAAGAATAGCTAACATTTGTCAAACCATTACTATGTACTATGCTATGTACTCCACATTCATCCTCTATCCCCTCATTTCACCCTGGAAACGCTCTTATTAGTGGGTATTACTGTCCCTATTTTGGGGATGAGGCAGGTTAAAGCTCAGAGAGGTAAGCAATTCAGCCACGGACACCGAGCTTTTAAACTCAGATGTTAGGGACATTGTTTCACAAGATGGAGAGGACACTGTAGATGCATTGGTTTGGTTCTTACAGGCTAAGATTGGTGTGTGATGCTAAGTCTCAGAGAACAGTATGTCCTCAGGAATCAGAAGCTGCTTCAGTCCTCTTAGTGCTCCAACCACGAGGTGTTGCAGAGCTCTTCAAAGAACTCTCCTGGCTTGAGAGGTGCTGCCCACCTCACCGTGAAACACAGCTGGGTGGGCTGGGGTGTGAATACAAATATATAATAAGTATGTCTGTGTGTGTGTGTCTTGGGGAGGCTCTGGGAACTAAAACATGGAGGAACTGGAATGATTGCATACCTCTAGTTGGCTCAGCACTATACTAGGTGCTATGCCAGTTGCTATGGAGTTTTTTTTTTAATTATTATTATTTTACTCACTTAACAGATTTGAAAATTGATTTATGTAAGATTCTTTGGATCAGGGACCAGCAAGTAATTTCTAGCGGGCCAAATCTCCTCCAACTGCTGCCTGTTTTTTTGTGAACAAACTTTTATGAGGACACAGCCATGCTCATTTGTTTCTGTGTTGTCCATGACTGCTTGAGTGCTGCAAAGGCAGAGGTGAGGAACTGCGGCCAGATCCCAAGGCCCATCAAGCCTAGCATATTTACTATGGTGAGAGGAGAGTTCCCCAGATGGCAGGGTGCGAGCTCACCTCCTCTCACGCGCACACCACAGTTACACCATGTACACGACCACTGTTGATGACAAAGACCGGAACTTACCAGAAAAGATCATCTACAACTAAAGATAAAGAGAAGGAACTATCATGTGCCAGGTAGGAGTGGTGGAGTTATGGAACACCCCTGGGTGGGCCATTCAGAAATGGGAGAGTAATTACAGCTGCATAGCTTCTCCCCAAGAAGCAAGGGGTCCGAGCCCCCTCATCAGGGTCCTGTGCCAGGAAGATGAGCCTTCAGAATATTTGGCTTTGAAGGCCCGTGGAGCTTACTTTCAGGAGTTTCAAAGGGCTGTGGGAAAACAGACACCACTTTCAAAGGCTGTGCACAAAATCTCACAAGCTCTGAGACCCAGGGAAGAAGCAGTAGTTTGAAAGGAGCCTGGGTGAGACCTAGACAGTCTCCTAGAGTTAAAGGAGGCAACAGAGCTCACCCTGGGGACATAGCCACTGGTGGCAGCCACTTTGGGGAGCTCATTCTACCACACGGACACTGGTACTGGCAAGTGCCACTTTGGAGCCCTTGCTCTAGCTAATTAGCCTAGCGACCCAGCCCTGCCCAGCAGCCTGAAGGCACCAGTACTGGGAATGGCAGGCCAAGTAACTAACTGGGCGGGGACAACACCCCCTGCACCAGTGCATGGGCACTAGAGCTCTGAACCCACAGATCCCAGGACCGGCAGGCACCGGCCTCAGAATCCTCTGTAAGTGATCCTGCTTTACCCTCGGGCACCAGAATGTAGATACCAGCCTCAGGACAACTGCAGGCCTGCAGCCTTCCTGGACAGGATCCAGCCCACCTACCAGTGGTCTGACACCTCCTCTGGGACTTCTGGGACCTGCAGCCAGACCCGACTCTGCCTGCCCCTGGGCCAGGACCTGGCTGCATGCACTGGTAGGTGGGCATCAGCCCTGGGATCTCTTGGACTCTGATCCTACCCACCAGCAAGCCAGCGCTAGTCCTAGGGTCCCCCAGCTAGCCACCTTCTGACCCTGACCCAGACCCACCAACAAGTGGCCAGCAGCCTCTGCACGAGGGAGGACCTGGCAACCAACTGAACCAGAGGCCAGCTGCACCTGTCAGACCACCCACAGTAGCCAGCTATCACAACAGAAGGACCCCCCCCCCCACTGCAGCCCTCACAGGAGGAAGCCCTAGAGCATATAGCTCTGAGGAGCAGAGGGCAGTGCGCTGCTGGGACACATAAGATGTCACCTACAAAAGGCTACTTTTCGAAGGCCAGGAAATGTAACCAGCCCTTGAGATACCTGGAAATACATACAGCAAATTAAGCAAAATGAGGTAACAGAGGAACATGTTCCAAACAAAGGAACAAGATAAAACCCCAGAAGTAATTGAAGTGGAGACAGGCATGAGGTAATGATTGTAAAGATGATCAGAAAACTTGGGAGAAGAATGGACGCACAGAGCAAGAAGTTAGAAGGTTTTTATGAAGAACCACCAAACAGATGATGAATACAATCACTGAACTGAAGAATACGCTAGAAGGAATGGTGAATCACTGTGTCACACACCTTATATAATATTGTACATCAGCTGTACTTCAGTCGAAAAATAAGCTTGCTAGAAGGGGTCAACAGTAGACTGATACAGAGGAATGGATCGGTGGGCCGGAAGACAATAGTAGTGGAAAACACTGAAACCGGAAAAGGAAAAAAGAAGAAGAGGAGATGAAGACAGTTTAAGAGACCCTTGGATACTAACATTCACATTATAGGGGTCCCAGGAGAAGACATCCAAGTCCAGGAAGCACAGAGAGTCCCAAACAGGATCAACCCAGAGAGGACCACACCAAGACACACTGTACTTAAATGACAAAAATTAAAGATAAGAGAATATTAAAAGCAACAAAGGAAGAGCACCAGGTTTCATCCAACGGCACTCTCAACTGGCCTCTCAGCAGGAACTCTGCTGCTCAGAAGGAAGTGTCATGCTGATGAAAGGGAAAAACCTACAACCAAGGATACTCTACCCAGCAAGGCTCTCATTCAGATTTGACAGAGAACGTTTCAAAGACAAGCAGAAACTAAAAGAGTTCAGTACCATCGAGCCATGTTTATGAGAACTATTAAAGGGGCTTCTCTAAGTGAAAAAGGAAAGGCCACAAATAGAAAAACTGAAAAATATGAAAGGAAAAAATTATACAGGTAAGGCAAATATTCAGTAAAAGTAATAAATCAATCATATACAAAGCTAACAAAGTTAGAAGACTCAAGCAGTAAAATCAGCTATATCCACAATAAGCAATTAAGGGATACACAAAACAGATATAAAATACGATGTCAAAAACTTGGGGGGAAGTAAAAATGTCGGATTATAAAATGCCATTAAAATTGAGAGTAGCAACTTAAAAAAATCATATATATGCTAAGAATCTATAATAGATCCATGCAAAAAAGAGAAAGGAATTTAAACATAACACTGTAGGTAATCATCAAATCACAGGGAAGAGAACGAAAAGAAACAAACTACTAAAACAATTTTTAAAATGGTAGTAAGTACATACCTATTCATAATTAATTTAAATGTAGATAGACTAAATGCGCCAATCAAAAGATGGGGGCGGAAGGTATAGCTCAGTGGTAAAGTGCATGCTTAGCATGCATGAGGTCCTGGGTTCAATCCCCTGTACCTCCATTAAAAGTAATAATAAAAGTAAATCTAATTACTTCCTCCTCCCAAAAATTAAATTAAAAACAAAAGGCAGAATGGAGGTAGAAGACCTATACTTGGAAAACTGTAAGACACCGAGGAAAGAAATTGAAGCCAACACAGGTGGAAAGATACACTGTGTTCATGGATTGGAAGAACTTATATTGGTAAAATGGCCATACTACCCAAAACAATTTACAGATTCACTGCAATCCCTATCAAAATGCCAATACCATTTTTCACAGAACTAGAACAAATAATCTTAAAATTTGTATGGAAACACAAAAGACCCCAAATAGCTAAAACAATCTTAAGAAAGAAGAAAAGAGCTGGAAGTCAGCTGACTTGAGACTATTCTACAAAGCTAACAACAGTGTGGTACTGGCACAAAAACAGACACATAGCTCAATGGAACAGAATAGAGTCCAGAATTAATCCCATGCACTTATGGTCAATTAGTCTACGACAGAGGCAAGAATATACAGTGGAGAAAACAGTCTCTTAAATAAGTGGTACTGGGAAAACAAAATAGCCCTATGTAAAAAAAAAAATGAAATTAGAACATTTTCTCACACCACATACAAAAATAAACTCAAAATGGAGTCGTGATCTAAATGTAAGACCACAACCCACAAAAATCCTAGAAGAAAACTTATGTAGCACATACTTTAACATAAATTGTAGCAATATTTTTTCTGGATCTGCCTTCTAAGGCAAAGGAACTAAAGCAAAACTAAATGAATTGGATCTCATTAAACTTAAAAGATTTTTCACAGCAAATGAAACCACTGACAAAATGAAAAGACAGCCTACTGAATGGGAGAAAATATTTGCAAACAATATGACTGATAAGGGGAAAATATCCAAAATATATAAACAGCTCATATAACTCAATATCAAAAGACAAACAACCCAGTCAAAAAATGGGCAGTAGAACTGAATAGACATTTCTCCAAAGACATACACATGAGCAAAAAGACCATGAAAAGATGCTCAGCATCACTAATCATCAGAGAAATCAAAACCACAGTATCAGCTCCTACCTCTCAGTATGGCTATCACTGAAAATACCACAGATAGCAAGTATTGGTGAGGAAATGGAGAAAAGGGTACCCCTGTACACTGTTGATGGGAATGTAAATTGCTGCAGACCCTGTGGGGAACAGTATGGAAGCCCCTCAAAAAACTAAAACTAGAATTACTTTATGACCCAGCAAGGCCACTCCTGGGTATATATCCAAAAAACATAAAAACACTAATTTGAAAAGATAAATGCAACCCAGTGTTTATAGGGGCATTATTTACAATAGCCAAGATATGGAAGCAACCTAAGTGTCCTTCAACAGGTGCCTGGATAAAGAAGACGTGATGCATATATACAGTGGAACACTACTCAGCCATAAAAAATGGAATTTTGCCATGTGCAACAACATCAATGGACCTGGAGGATATTATGTATAGTAAAATAAGTCAGACAGAGAAAGATAAATGTTGTATGTTACCACTTATATGTGGAATATAAAAATTATAGAGAACAAACTAGTAGTTACCAGTGGGAAAAGGAGAGGGGGCATTAAGAGGTACATACAACTATATATAAAATAAATAAACTACAAGGATATATCATACAGCACAGGTGATATAACTAATATTTTATAATACTATAAATGGAACATAATCTGTAAAAATTTTGAATCACTATGTTGTACACCTGAGACTTATATAATATTATAAATCAACTATACCCCAATAAAAATACCATCTTGCTATTTACAGAAACAGTTTGCCAACCTTTGGTTTAGATGATTGGATAACAATCATGCAGCTATATTTGTATTTGGGCTAACTGCAAAACTCACACTCTTTTTCAGTGCAGTATATTTTTCCTCCCAAATTCCAGTCCAGGTGGTGGTGTCCTCACCTGTCCACAATAAAACAAGAAAAATAAGGATAAGGTAGTGAACTTTTTAAAGTGAAACACATACAAAAATCAATTTAAAGGGCTATCTTTTCTATGATATTTTCTTGTTTATCCTTTCATTAGGAAGTATCTTGATATGTGTGTCTGGAAGAAATCAGTTGACAGTCTTTGTTAGTCATCTTTTTTAAAATTTAGCTGGACAGTGAAATAATCGATTTCTAGGAAGCACCATGCTAAACCAGAATTTGGCTGGGCACCGAGGGCATGATTCCAAAGCTGCCTCGGAGTATCATTTCTTTTGCTGTCCAAGTTTTGAACTATCCCCTCCACTACTGCATCTGCAGAGATTGCCTGGAGTTCTTTAAATACTGTGATGAATTGCCTAGATGTGTCTGTATGTGTTTCTGCATTCTTATGGCAGCTTCTGAATTTCTGGAAGCTCTCTTCTTTATCAGTCGCTTAACTGGGAGACACAAACTTTTGGGGAGATAGATTGCATTTGCATAAGACCCTTCTAATCAGATCAGATGGCTCCCACATGTTAGAAGAGACTCAGTGGCCTGCAAGCATGTGTGCCTGGCTCTGGACAAGCCCTGTTTTATCGACAGTTATCTTGGAAAAGTCATGAAGCATGGGATTCCTTTCATCTGATGTCACTGACAGCAGAAAGGACACCATCCAGCTGAGTGTTGCTCACTCCTTCCTCGTTTCCCTCTTCTGCAGTGCACGGTGACCTGTGGAGGAGGCATCCAGACCCGATCAGTCCACTGTGTTCAGCAGGGCCGACCTTCCTCAAGTTGTCTGCTCCGTCAGAAACCTCCAGTGCTCCGGGCCTGTAACACAAACTTTTGTCCAGCTCCTGAAAAGAGAGGTAAAGGGCCCCACGTGCCAGCAGTTTTACTGCTCTTCTGTTTTTCATTAACCTCCTGATTGGATTGTGCAGCTTATGCATCGCACAACTCTAGGGGGCGCCATTCACATCAGTCTATGTGAACAATGCTCCTTGGAGCAGTACAGGCACAAATCCAGGGAAGTTCCTGCTCAAAATGATCTTGTTTGCATGGATAGTCATCAACATTTAATTCTACAATAAGGCTGTTTAGCCATTAATTCTTACTTTGAAAGGGGGAGATGGTGATCTTGCAAGACCCTTGTTTTAAATTAAATTTAAGTCGAACAAAGTTACCACCATATGCCAGAGATTAAGCTAGTCTGTGGGAATGTAAGAGTAAACAAGACTTGCCCTCAAAGAGCTCACATTTGAATTGAGGTGACAGGTAAATTACAGTCACAGCAAATGCGCGTTACCCTAGGACTGCACCTTAAGTGTGCTCCTAGTTCAGGTTAGTTCAAATGAAGTGCAGTGAGTGCTGGTGGGAAAGTGGGAAATTCAATTATCGGAGTGAACCTAATCTGATTTATTTTAAAGTGATCTGATGAACACCAGGAAATATTTCTTGTGCCAGAGAGTCATTTTCCATCATGTACCTGCTGAGTTTTCTTTTCATCCAATCACAGCTTTTCAAATTTTTCCAATTTGTGGTGAATCAGGCCTAGGCCTGTGACTCAAGTGCTG